TATCTTTGAAATTTTTTCTTTATAAGGAATGCCTGAAAGTAGCATAGAATTGCTTTTTTAATCACTTTCCATGGCAAGTCAGACTTGAAGACAAAGTATGTTTTCAAATGTGTTTGGAATGTGAGAGCCAACAATTTTACAGTAGGATTTGGATTCTATCACACATGAAATTCATCAATGTGGATACAGAATGGAAAATATCTTGAGGTACTAGGAAACCATTAGGTCTATATATCTACTAAAATGAGAGCCTAATGTGGGCAGCATTCTTTTCCTTTTGCTCAATATTTTATACCCAATATTTTATACTCTTGTCTGGAGGGAAATAATAAAAACCTGCTAAGTGAATATGTATGAATGAAGCAATCAAGTCACGTATCTGAAATATCACAATTGTATAGATACATTTTCTTAGTGTTACTCTAACAATGGAAAAAGTTAAATATATTTTATTCAACATTAAATATATACATGTATGTTAAAATGTTTAATGATTACAATAATGTATAGTATACTTTAGGTGACATTGACTATAGAAGTATAACTTTCAATGTAATTTGTATTTTGTATTTATGTATTACTAGTTACATAAAATTCTAATATCAAGAATTTCCAGAGCATTGTAATGAAATTTCTATTATTAAGGGGGTGGGAGGGAACAAGAAAATAGAAAATAAAAGTTTAACTGTAGCTAGAGAGTAAAAATGAGCTTAAGAATAATCAAAAACTCTCTAAAAATGCCCTGTGTATAATTTCTACAGGATTTTAAATGACATGATAAAAGTAAAGTTTTCCAAATGCCATGACATTTTCTAAGATTATTTAGAAATATTGAATATTTATAGAATATTAATTCTCCACTTTCAACCTTTAAAAAAATCACTGAAATTTAAAAATATGCAGTTAACAGTTACAGGTAATATGTGCTAATGCTCTAGATATAAAGCCTACCTAAAAATATAAAGAGCAAGGCATATGAGAAACACATGAATATACATAGGTATATATACACAAGTATGTGTGTTTTATTGAATAGTTCTCAAATATCTTGGCTGTCAAGATTTCAACATTTTTATTACGAGAGATTGATATTTAATTTTAAAATTTTATTATATCATCTTAATAGAATACATTTATTATTGCCCACAATTATTAATAAATTTGTAGTATCTTTTAGTAGAGTTACAAATAAGCAAGTTGGCACTTGAAACATTAATAGAAGTAGACATTAGTTGGTATCACTTACATAACCTAAAGTCCATAAAACTTGTGGACTATTCTCACCCTAATATTTCAGATGTCAAAAAAGTAACCAAGAAACTAATCATTTTCCTGCCATCAGAATTGAGATGAGGTTTGAAAATATGAAATTTACTGCAATCCTCACATCAATACTGGACTAAATCATCATTTATTTATTATTCTGTCTTATAAACATATCAAACCAAGAAAACCTCTAGGCTCATGTACAATAAAATATTTCAACATTAAAACTAAATAATAAAATGTCAAAGATAAAAGACAAATAACCTACTCAGACATCCCTCCTCTCTAGCTTAGGAGAAATTTATCTAAATAGGAGATTTTTTGGAACACCAATTCAGACTTGTTCTCCCAAGCCTATAGATTCCTAGACACTAGTTTGTTTTTCATTTACATAACTTGATTGAATTAGTACCTGTAGATTTTTTGCATGGACTCTCATTAATAGAAATACAAAAGTCTATGATAACGCTTTTCACAATGCCAGTGTGAATTATAAAACCAACTGAATATTGGTGTGCTTTTTGGGTCTGAAAGTCCTGGGTTAGTCTATTAATGCTACATGCAAATTTGAACCCAGAGTTCTACTTAACTGTCTATTCTTTCCACAAAAATAAAATGAACTGATATTATTTCTAATATAATACCTTTAAAAGAATAGAGGAGGTCAAGCAATAAATCTACTCTTTCACACGTAATCACTAGTGATAGGGCAACATAAGAAATGGGCCATTTTATCTCTTTCTTCATTATAGTATACTTTTGGATCCAAGCAACAGGAAGATAGAAAATGTGCCAAATTAATACATTCTAGCTTGATTGATGGCTCTGAATGTATTAGTGTTCCAAAGAATTTACTAGTACAACTGGTATAATAAAAAATAAATAAATAGAAACTGTTTGATATGTAGATAACTATTCTCTCAGTCTTTGTTTCCTAAAGTCACTCAGCTTCAAATGAATGCTTTCATTCAAACACCTTTTGAATAGCGATACCAATAATAGCAGCTTCCACTGGTATGCAGTAATACCAGCTTCAACTTTGCTATTTTAAAATAATGAATGGAAGAAAATGTTAATTACAACCTATTGAGCCTCCCTGTGCTTACCTTTAAAACAAACAATTAACCTCCAGTTTATCAAATTGATAGGTAACCAGGACCCCTGCCAGAAATCAACCCAAAGTAGAAACCTTCAACTTTGCATTGTTAAAAGGGGAGGGAATAAAAGCAAGTTGCTGGTAATAAATCACTCCTATCAGAATGTTGGCTTATGGCAAGGATCTCCTAGTGCTATGACCTCAGAGAATCTTTGAAAAATGATGTGATTTCCTATAATAAGAGTTGGGCAGAAGATGTACCAGCTCTTCTGTCTCCTGCCTTTCTCCAAACACACACCAAGTAATTTTCTTTGCAACACTCTGGCAACATGGCCACCATTTTGAGAGCCAGGTACAAAGCCTAGCATGGATCCATTGTTCCAGACATCCTGAGAGCTGGCCTTCTGTTTCGGTTGACCTCAAAAGGTTTCTCTACATTGGGGGAAATTCAAAGGGAAAAACAAGGAAATCTCCATTTGGGGGAGGGCTCACTTTGTTGAAGTTGGGTTTATTTAAAGCTGTCAATTAAGCAGTCTATATCTTAGACTCAAAGTAGAAAAATCTACTGCCTGTTCTAAAAGCTAGTCTTGCTGTCATGCTCTTAATCAAGACACAGGTCCCAGAGTAACTGACAGGGGATGCCTAACAGAGTGCCTATGGTCAAAATCACTGAAGGAAGTCTTCAAATCACAGACTGCCTGCAACTTCTTCAGGAAAAATAAAGCTGATGACTGAAGGAGAAAGCACACAGCAGGATGTGCTTCTTCTCAATATCTTTGCCTTTTAAGACATTCCTGTCTTCCATCTCAGAGATCACCAGTTGAAAAAAGATGTGATTTCCTATAATAAGAGTTGGGTATAACATTGCTTGGGTAACAGAGTCTGGGTTAAATAAATTGCATGTAATCATAAAACACAGAAGCATGTTCATGAAATGTCACCTTGTAAGCATCCTTGAGTACATGTTGTCCAAGGGGGTCACTGAACTTTGGAATACACAGTGACTTAAATGAGAACAAAAAGATACATGGCAGCCTGTAATAATGGTGCTCACTGGCTGGTGCTGTATTACATAAATTTATCAGGCACATAAGACTGGTGCAACCAGCACAACCTTCAGCCTGTATCTAGGGACTATGGCTACATGCTTTGTGCAATAAACATTATACAGTACAATAAATGAGGCAAAATCGCTGGGAAAATATGTGAGAAGCAAGAGTGGGTAAAGGATAATAAAGTATCTTTAGGAACATTAACATAAATGATGGGTCACAATTTCCAGCAGTCTTCCTCTGATAAATTGCCTATATCATAACGTTTTCATTGTACACTCTCATTTAGAAATGTACCACACAAGCCTTATACCTGTAAAATCTATAGTTGCTTTTGTCAGGTTTGTTGCTGTTATTCAGTGCGTGTCAGGTATGCGAGTTAGGTAGTAAATTTATCGTGTATCCAGGAACTGGATTTCCTAAACACTCTCCCTTAGAAAAACAGGATGAAATATACTAGCAATGAGAAACCCTGGAACACGTGTTCTGGGCTGTTGCTCTCCTCTCTCGCTGAAACATCTGTCCACAGTCCCAGCCCTGCCTGTACATTGTCACGTGTAACCCTTGCATCATTTTATATTGTGCTCGTTGTGTTTGGGTTTCAATTTCTCCATTGTTTATCATCTTTCCCAAAGCAGATTTTTCGCATCTCTCCCTTTGTCTGTGCAGTAGATTTCTTCTTTCTCTCACTTCCTGAAGTGATGCCTGCTATGGCTTGCTATTTCCCCCCCTTTTGTTTTGTCCTTTTGCTTTTTCCTTAACATTGGCAAACTCATTTGTTTCTTTTCTCCCAAGCATGCCTGCTTCCCCTTAATTATGGAGGGGGAGGGGTTAATAGCTATTAGGAGATATATTTCCCTTCTAGAATCTGAACTAGCTTTTAAAATTTGTTTCCCCTCTCTTAATTTATAAATATTTTAATCAATAATGTATCTATTATTTCCCAAGTGAGCCTTAAGGAGTATGTTTGATGGCCTCACACAAGCCATTGTAGGCGAACCCAGCCTCCCTTAAGCAGCTGACACCATGAGCCTCGCTAGATTTTTCCCTCTCTCGAGTCCCTATGTTTTTAGCTAGCCAGCAATGGCACACTCACTCCATCACTGAACCAGTGAAATTGATGTGGTGTGCAAGTTCCCTCACTCCCTTTTGCTGAACTTGCATTGTATTGCCCATTGAATATTCAGTGAGAAGGGATCCTGGAACAAAAAGCCAGCCATCAGAGACAACTCCTGACTGCACCCCCTTGTCGTAATTGCACCCGATCAGCATCAACCTGCATCAATAATTAGACAGGGGTCCAATAATTATGTTGGCAATGAAACAACATCGTCAGAACTTCAGTTCTTTCCATGAAGTGACTTTGGAAGGGCCGAAACCCATGTTGGAGATTGACATCACCCACCTCCCTCTCTACCCGGTACCATTCACGCTCCCAGTGATTGAAACCTGGTGCCCTCTGAATTGTTTGGCAATATCCCTTCCAGTTGTTGCCTCGCATATCTCCAGAAGAGCTCGACTTGCTTGTGCGTCTATGACATACTTGCTTTTAAAAATCTAATTAAAACTTTCTTTTGGGTCCTTAGGTAGAAAGATGGCTCTGCTGAGATGAGCGCTTAATTAATGCACTGAGAGCGAGAGTCCCACCTCTCGACAGGAATGATTGACGTCCAAGGATACATAAATTACACTAATTGAGCTCTGCCTCTATATAGACTTTCCAGAGCCAACTCATCAGAGAAGCTAGGTGAGTAGACCAGCATAAAAAGTTATTTCAATATGTTCTTTGCTGTCCCACAGGGTAAGAGAGAAACTTTCCAGACTGTCGCACATTTATTATCACAGAAGGCTGTCCTTTTCTTCAGCTTGAAGATGTAGGTTTTGTGTTGTGCGGGCTTTTTTTTATTATAAAAATTAGCATTTTTAACATAACCATTTAAATTTGAATAACTACATTCTCTTTGCAATTTTCAAGGAGCAAAACTTGCAAGCCAATTACAGTATGCAAAAATCACTTGGCATCGTTTGTTGATATTAAATTGTGTCTCCTAGCAACCAGCACATATGCTATGGAGGGATTGTTTGAAATCAAATCCACTCGTTGTCCTTGAGTTTAGCTTTCAGAAATTTACTAATTGTCAACACACCTCATCCCCAGCCTCCACCAGTTACCATACTAAGTCTTTTTTGACCTTTATTTCTATCTGAAAGAAATCTATAAGGATTCAGAAACCCTAACATTCACAGAACCAACTAAACCACTTGAGATCACTTAGTTGACTTAATAAATGAAGATAAAATTCAGATAAAGGGATCTCTGTTTCAAAAAAAAATGAAGACCATCATATCACATTAGACTTTTTCATTTACATATGACAGTTTTATTTATAAATATTGAAAAATGCCTTAGCTATTAGGAAAAACCCAGTGTTTCAGGTATGGTTTGAAAGGTGAATATGGGAATTTGAGGATATTTCACTGTCCACTTAAAACACTAGACTATAAGAATCAGGCAAACAGAATACAAATGCTGTTTGCAGTTTACTGCGTATATGTTTATAAATCAACCACAAGAGGATAAAGACCACAATGAGAACAATATTGCAAAACTCAGCAGGCATGGAGAGACATTAAGTAGGACACAAGCATTGCAAGTGGAAGCTCCAGGTTGGGTCCCTGGTACCCTATGGTCTCCTGAGACCAAGAGTGATCCCTGAGTGCAGAGGCAGGAGTAAGCCCTGAACACTGCCAGGTGTGATGCCAGAATACAGACAATAAAAAAGTAATCCAGCAGGGCTGGAGAGATAGAGGAGTGAGTAAGGCGCTTACCCTTCGTGCGGCCAACTCTGCTTAATCTCCAACAAAAATATATGCTTTCCCCATTACCTAAGGAGTTATCCCTGAGCTCCGAGATAGGAGTAAACTCTAGGCTCTGCTGGGTGTTTTCCTCCCCCCTAAATTATTAAGTTAATTATCAATAAGCAGTAAAAAGGGCAATCCAGAAAAATGAGCAGAAGTGGAAAAGCTGTGAGAGCAAAAGAAGAAAATGCCACAATGGAAACATGGAATGGGGTTTATAATTGATACATCAAGTACCAAGTCTACACATCTAAAATATTAGTCATAGAGTAAGTAGAGCAAAAACTTACTGAAGGAAATGGGGCCTGAAGCAGAAAATATTCAGGGGGAACCATTGCATCCTAGTAAGCAGAATCAAAGACTTCGAGACTTTGAATTCCTAAAACATGCAGGAGTGTCGTTGTGCTCCCACAGTTTTATCACTCCAGCTGTTTGCTGTACCTACTGTTTCAAATTGTCAAAAATGTGAAGCCCCATTTAAAATCCTAAGATAGCTACATTTCTAGCAAAATAGCTTTATTATTACCGGCGAGAGACCCAAAGTAGAGAAAAATTGAGAACGATCAGAAAATCCTCCACTGATAATCTCTTAAAAATAAAATAATAAAATAAAATACACCTAAAATGCTTTTAACATCGGGTCTCTCTTGAAATGGAATCAAAATGGGACATTTTCCTTTCTGGAAGGTCTTTTGATTCTTTGATGTCTCACAGTATCCAAATTTAATGTATTGGAGCCTTTGACATAAATGGAATTTCATGGAGTTCTGTTTAAAACTTGTTTGGAAATAATGAGCATGGAGCATGTGTCTCCCACAGCCCACGTGTCTATTTGGATTTGCTGTAATGATGTGTGCATTCTGCATTCTTCATCGTATATTCTGTGTTATGCTAGGTGTGGCCGCTGAAGTGGTTTTCTAGGAAATTGTGCTTGAAATGACCTAAATGTGTTCCAATCTCCTGAGAATGTATGTGTTTAATAATCATAAAATGGCAGTACCACTGCGTGCTTCATTAGTCTCAGATCTGTGGAAATATTTTTAATAGCAGAAGTAACCATATGTCAATAAACTGGCAGATATCGCTACTAGACTCCACATAGTTTGAATGTAGTTCAAAGAAAACAACATACTTCAACAGTGCCATACTTTTGGAATTAAAGTGGCAAACCGTACCTGAATTAGTATCCTTTTTGTTTGTTTGTTTCTCACATGTGTTGCTTCATCAATGTGCTGATGTCTGACAGAAGACTGTAAGTCATTATGAAATAGAGCCTAGTCAGCTCTAGGAGGAGGCAGGGACTTTGTGCCTCGGATGGACCCATTAATATAATAGCCGATCACTCAAGCTAATCAAATCAGCTCTCCTCTGCTCTGGTTATAAATAGGGACTAGTGTCCAGTTGCTAGATTATACCACAATCAGATCTGTATTTGCTGACACATGAATGATAAAGTGATAAAGATGTTAATTACTCTTCTCTTGTACATCTTTGTGTTGGTCATTTGCTCGGCCCAAATTTTATTCAGAATTTATATGGTTCTATAGGCTATTTATTTGACTGGAAAATTCATTATTCCACTGTTCTTTGATCCCTGGGTAAATTGTTGGCTAGTATTAATAATAAATTTAGAGATTTTGAAGCTTTCTCAAAACCAAAATTTACTAAAACATCTTTCCTTTTATAATAGTTACTAGTAATCATTTAGTATATTCCATAAAAATGTGTATACTGTACCTTTCTACCTATTTTTTTATAGACTCAACAAATAGTCATCCAAGGGTGTTTTATGTAGCAAGCATAATTTTTGATGCTTAGATTTATGTAGTAAGAAAAAAAAAGATTTTTGAAAAGCTGTGTCCTCATGAGGTTCATGTTCTTAAGGGAAGAAGTAAAATATAAGCAGAATGAGAAAAAGAGGGGTTGGAAGAAGGATAGAGAGAAAGAGAGAGAGAAAGAAAGAATGCTTAGTACTATGGAGAAAAACAGAAGAGGATGAGTTGATTGGAAGTGCTTTTACAAATCAAAACTATCTCACTGGGGCAATTTTGAAGCAGGTGTGCAAAGAACTCTGCAGGTAACTAGGAAACAGTTCCAAGTAGGAAAAAAAGGCATAAGCACATGTTTTAGCAAAGAAAAACCTGGTGTAGAAAGTCCCCCAGTGGTTAATACAATTAGATTAGGCAGGAATGAATGTGGACAAAGAAGAAAGAGTAGAGAAGAGTGAAAGAACTAGGTAAGTAGTACTTACTTATACCCTTCTTATGTATTTAAGAGGGGAAACTTTTAAAGGATTTTTTATATTGGAATATTAGAAGATTCTTAGGAGAAAATGATTTGATCGAATGTATTCTAGTTTTTTAAATGTGTTATTGATATGGTGGCACTAGATTAGAGAGGAGAAATGTCAGAGGCTGAACATTATTCAGGAAACTTGGTACAAATGAAGCAAGAGATGATAGTGACTTTGATCAGGATGATAGTTGTTATGTGGCTTTGAATTCCAACTGTGTTCTGAAGATAGTACTAACAGAATTTGCTAGTAGATAAGAGATGAGACGAGAGGGAAATCAAGAACTTTCAAGGATGAATCCCAAGTCTTTTCACCAAGCAATTAAAGGAATGGAATTATAATTTGTCAAGATGGTGAGGATAAGTAGAAAAAGTTGGCAGGTCAATGTTTCGGACTTGTTTCAAAGGAGATTCCTTTTAGAAGTCCTGTTGCAAATATCATAAATAGTGTAACCCAAGAGTTTTCAGATAAGATCTGAGAATTTTAGGAATTCATAGTATAGGTCTGGTCTTCATAGTTAGCTGACTGGATGAAATCAGGTAGAGGGATATTATTGATAGATTAAAAGATAATCAAGGACTTGACATAGGAACCCCAACTTAGAGAAGTCCAGATTTGGAGATTTATGCAATGATGAGGTTGGAAAACAGACAAGGGTAGTTTCCTGGAAACCAAGAGGAAACCATTTGTTAAATGGGGTCTTTATACTGAATGGGAACTGCAATATCAAGTCATTGTGTGACAGAGTGAAAACATAATCACTGTTAGCTCAAGAAGATGAGGGGAGAGAAATTAGAAGTGACGTGTGAAGACAAATGTTCAGAGAATTTTTTCTTTAATATTTTGCCCCCCCCCACAAAAATAAAAATAGTAAATATATCCAAAAGAGGAAGAAAGTTTTCTCCTTTAAATTATTTCATGTTTGTTCATCATGATTCAATTGATAGGATAAATTGGTGATGTGAAAAAGAGAACGTTTTGCATTCTCCTGCATAGGTAAGAGGAGATTGGAACTCATGCAAAACTGAAGCGGAAGCCAGAGAGGAAAACTGGACCATAGAAACATAAAAAGCAGAAAGGGAAGTCCAAGATGGAAGAAGCTGAAGAACATGCTTCTAGTTATATCTTGTTTCCTTGTGCAATAGAAGTGGGGCTTGTGGCTGAAACTGGGATAATAGAGGTTATTAGGAGATAGAGAAGAGAGTATGAAATAGCAACGGAGAAGAATAGAGTGGTCCAGGATTATAATCTGGGAGCACAACAGTGCCATTGAGGTTAATGATAACAAATTTAAAAGAACGCTAATCTAAATGGTTGTAAGCACTCGTTCAGCACATTTAACTGTGTAAATGCAGATAAGGCAGAAAGTTGGGTTTGATGGTACCTGAGTTTTTTGAAATGGATATTAAAAATATCAAGTGGAACAAATGAGTTGACAGTGTATGAAACAGGATGAAAATTGTGCAGGATCATGAATTTGAAGAAGGTAAGGTAAGAAGGCAGAGGAATCATGGCATAAGGTAGTAGATATCAGAGCGGGATCAGGTTCAGTCCTCTGTAGGATGAGTTAATTTGGAAGATGGTGGGTATTATAG